GTTCAATGAGTCATTGAGTGCGGGATTTAAATTTGATTGGCGGGCGGCGGGAGCAATCGAATGTGGTCAGAGGTAACTTGACACGATGAAGATAGGCTATAGTGAAGAGGTTAGTGTCAAGTTATCTCTGAAGCTCAGGGTGGACTGATATGGTCCTAAATAGAAATAATGTTTAAAGATATGGTTCACTTGTTGTGCTTGTTATTGATCGCATTTTCACCTTCGAAAATTACTGAGTACTTTATTGTTTCTTGATGAAATGTCAAAAAGGATAACTTATTTGGATTCTTATACCATTTTCAAAGTAATTTAAAGCAAGAAAGATAAAACATAGAAACCAAAACCGTACATTCTATTGAAATGAGATTTTTTCACCAACATTAAAGTTTAAAGGGATAACAACTGTTCATTTTGACCAAAAATGAATTTTCCTGAGGTAAACAACAATTTTCCCATACTTACTGATGAATAATGAATCCATTCTGACATTCGAGGTTAGTCTCTGGTTTTTCTCTAAAAAGTTTTTTTTTCTTTGTTATATTCTCTTAAGAGATTACTACACAGTGTAGCCATCTGTGGAGATCAAATGATGTGATGGCAAGCACAAATTCCAAAATAATTGTGTTAACTAACATTTTGGTGGGAAATAGAATTCATTACATTTCTATGAGTTGTTTACAATGTATTTATTGTTAAATATAGTTATCATACGAACAATTGTTATCCCTTTAAAGGTGAATTGAAAGTTTACTTTGTTTCCCACTTTGTGCATATATAGGAACTTCAGCCAAAAAAAAAAAAAGCAAATTCAAATTTACTATAAATTTTCATATATTTTATTTTGGAAATGGGTAGTTTTATTGTGATAAAAGAACACACTGGCTTCCTTCAGCACACAATGAAACTGCATTATTTGTATACATCCAGTACTCGTGTTTAACCGAAAAATTTTCAAAAAGACAAATGTCATCCTTTGCAAAGGTAAATGCGTTCCAAAATACCGACTCTGTGCCACAGAATTCTGTTCTACTTTCCTTGCTTGAATACGGATACCAGGTGGACACGTTGATGTTTTTTGGGATGTCATAAAAGAAAAAAGACACCCCAGGAAGAGGGTTTGTTAAATTGAAGTATTGGCATTCAGTTATTGCAGAGGAGCAAGCACACGATGTTGGTTCCGATATTTCTGTTGTTGTTGTTACTGTTGTTGTTGATTGAGGAAATGCCATTGTGGAGGGTGCATGTGTTACATCAGTGTCTCTATGTATCACTGTGGTAAATGTTATCTGCTGAGTTGAAGAAGTGGAGCTAAAAGATGTTTCTAAAGCAGGTAATTTAATTGACCATGTTTCTGATGCATCCAATGTAGCCGTTGCCTCTGAAAATTCAGAGTCACTGTGAGATGAGGCAGAGATTGCTGTAGAAAAAACGCTCTCGGTTCCAACGGGCCCCGCCTGACGTTTAACTCGTGAATTACTGCAGCGACAACCGTCCTCTGACCGTCTAAGTTCTAAGACAAGTTGATAAAATATAGCGGAATACTTGGGATCATATTGAAATATAAACTGAAGATGGCAACTTTGCCGGTCTGTGGCGTTATAGAGTCCATTGGTTACAGCATGGACGTCATCCTCGGACATCAGTACAGCGCATGGTCTGTGGACGTGTATCGTCTGCTCTGGTCTTTCTTTTATTTGAAGTGTACTGGCAAGAAGGACATACCTTTTTACTTCCGAGTGGACATCACTGGCGGTTTCGTTATTTGAAAATGTGTAACTTGCAAAAAGTGCCGTGTTCAGTTCTTTGTCTGGGGAAGCCAGTCGCAACAACATGTCAGATGATATGACATTTGTAAAATCGATCGTTTTCAAATCGGAGGTGGCTTTGACGTCTCGGACTATGGCCGAAAGCAATGTTGTATTGATGTAAATAGATAACAAAGCCACTACAACCGCAAAGATAGATGCTAAAACGCGTAGAATTCCTAGCCAACAAGGTCTGATCGGCGGTGGGTCCTCAGCCCCTGCCACGGTGTTGCTTAAAATGCCCGGTTTATCCGAGGAACAGAAATACAGAAATGCGCCAGAAATTGCCAGACTTAGGCTCCACGCACTAGCCAAAATGCTCGTCACTCGTGCAAAGTACGCTATTTCGCTGATGTAAGACTGCTGTAGCGCGCAAGTGCCCTCATTGTATGCCAGTAAATTGATCCATGCGACAGGGATGTCTTCAATTACCCCTTCGAGAACCGAGAACCCTTCCAAGACGATGTTCTCCACTGGTAGCGAATGGGGATGGAGGTCCGCCCGTCGATATCGGTATCCCCTATACCACTTATGGACAGCACGGACGGTTTCTGCTATAAAAAGAGATGTTCCCAATACACAGCAAGCTATAAAACCATCCTTGAGAAGTTTCGTATAGCCCAAATTATCTGGCCTTTGGTAGGTGAAATCAAGTTGTATGAATTCTTCAAAATTCATCCAGTCAGTAACAATGTCCAGAAATGAAACTGAAAGTGTCACTCCATATTTCACATATCTGTTGAAGATGAAGAGGCGGATGATAGAAATCACTATTCGGCATGGAAACCTGAATTTAAGACAGTATATAGTCGCGTGTTATAGGTGAAAAAAACAGCAGGTGAGTTATAAAAGTACGTACATGTAGTGAATGACGAGAAGGAGTTTACGTGTATTTCAAAAGATGGAACTTCTCAATCAAACCTCACTTTCACTTATATACTTTTCGCTGCTTCGGTCATTAAAAAATCAATGGTGCGTACATCATCTGGTTTAGATGTATAAAAATAGGGTCTATAAGATCTTTATATACTGACTCGTTCTTAAATTATCTGATTTGTAGTCGTGCATTCCCATTTTAAGACATTTAAAACAAGTTTACACGGAATTTTGATGGCAAATCATAGATGGTGGCTCTTATACCTACTACGTAGACATAGTAGCCGGGGGAGGGCTGGGGAGGTACCTCGGCCCATTTTTATCAAAGACGTCGGTCTATCGTTGGGCGAGGTCCCCGTCCTCCGAATACGTTATCCTTCCCTTTTGTTCTCTATTTATTTATTTATTTATTTATTTATTTATTTATTTATTTATTGTATATATGGTAAGTCCCAGACTAGATTTTGCTTTTTGAACTTAGCTTAAAAACCTTAAGGCCTACACTTGCTTGCAGCTTACAACGCAGATTATAATTTTTTTTTTTTAAGTCAAAATTCTACGGACTCATTCCTCTTCCCATTGAATTTAACGCATATAAAAGAATACAGAGAAAGCACATTACCACTCCACAACTGACTCCAAACAACTGGTCTCCGACTGCGGTATGTCTTCTGTCTTAATTTTCTGTAGTGTATCGAAATCGTCCATGGTCACTGCTGCTTCTGATTTCTGACAGTCTTCTTTAACCTTTAGATTTTTCTTTCTGCTGGGTTCCACTTCTGCTTTGTCGGCTGCTTTCTCTTTTAAATGGTCAAAGTTGACGACGATATTAGACGTCGAAACCCCATTCGAAGTAGATTTTGTATCGTTTATATTTGGTACTTGGTTATTTTTTCGAGGAGGAATCTTGTTTCTTGGCAGTTTCTTATTTGGAACTTTACCCTTTGGAGGTTCATTTCCAGCAGCTTTATTGTTTGCTTTACTGATGGTTGGCCTATTAGGCCTAGTCTGGTCAGTCGCCTTTTTTGTCATGGCTTTTGTGTCATCAGCAATAGTGTCCTTTCCAGTGCTGGTTTTATTTTTACTGGTGTTGTTCATGCTGACAAAACTGGCTGCAAACTTAATATACCAGTAGTTTTTTAAGTCAAGAGTACCGTTCTGAAAGTGGACAACAACTTTTGTCGCCTCAAAGAATCAGCCAGTGCCTTTTTCTAGGAATCCACGAGATGTTCATCTCTCCTAGCTTTTGGAGTCCTACGTTGGGTGCTTTTATAAAGCAAATTCATCACTGTGATGAAGAATAACCCCGCTACTACCTAGGGAGTTCGGAGAGTTAACAGTGAAAGTGCATTGAAATAAATTTGTACACAGCGCGCAGTATGCTATTGTTGAGAACAAATAAGAACACAATAAGCGATTAAGAGAACCAAGTTCTTGTGAGTAAGCAACCGAAGCAATGCATATTACATTCAGATGCATTGGCACAGAGGTTCAATCTGGATTTGTTAAGATATATAATGGAGGCTTTCAAATAATTTGAATACACGAGTAGTGCACACGACCGCTGTTTCATGGAACCAGTAAATGATTAATGTCGATGCGCATGCCATTTCATTTTGACGAGAAACAACTGATAACTGTTAATGCCACCATTCGTCCTGTGATACATTGAATACTGCATGTGCCCTGAAAGTTGCCAGTCACTTATCCCTGTTGAACTTTTTTCTTGAAAGGAAAGCAAAAGTAAAAGTAAGAGAAAATTGCTACATTGTGTATGTATGTATCTATGTAACTTCACAAATCACGCATATCACTAACTAATATTGCACGCATCGATACGCCCCCGCGTCGATTTACTGACCCACATCGACACTCCCACTTTTATGATGTGACAGGTTTGGCCAGGTCACTCATGACCACTGATATGACCACAATACTGGTTTGGCCCAGGTGAAATATATGAACTGAATGAAAACAAACCTAGACAAATCTAGTCCAGATCAGAAATTCTCTCTACTTTTTGTCTAGTCCAGGTGAAATGAAATGAAATCTAGCCCAGATCAGAATTCTAACCAGGCCTGCAGCATAGTCTACACAAATTTTATATATTTTTTTCTCAATTTCAGATAGTAGAATAATGGAAGAGGCACAAACCAATGTTATGTCTTTTACACCATATCCCAGAAAATGGATAGAAAAATCACCAAAACCGGATGCAGTTTCCAAAGAAAATGGATTTACTGCAGTGTCATACAACCTTTTAGCCGATTGTGCTGTTAGAAATTTAGTAGGATATCACAGTTATGTTGCAAAGCATGCTCTTTACATGGACTTTAGATTGCCAAGAATATTAAAAGAGCTAGCTGAACTTGATGGAGATATTGTGGCCATGCAGGAAGTAGAGGGGGAGGTGTTTTTTAAAGGGCTTGCCCCAGCTCTGGGGAAGTTGGGTTATAAGGGGGTGCATCTACAGAGAAGAGATGATCTTGGGTTGTCATTGTTCTTTAAAACCAGTAAATTCTCACTGTTGGACCAGAAGTGCTGCACTCTACATGATTTAGCTGAAACCACACTGCAGGTGAGTTTACTTGATTTTAGAGTCTTTCTTTTTGGTGAAGCTGATTCCTTGGTACAAGACTGGGTTTGTATGGTAAAATTTGTATGTAGGAAAGTCTGTCGATTCTACTGTCTTTCTGTTTTAGGTTACCCCAATGAGTACAGAGCAGAGAAATGAAGTAAGAACCTACATTGAGCGACCAAGTGCATTCTTATTAGCCAAATTAAAACATAAAGGAACCAATCAAGTTCTGACAGTAGGCAACATTCACACAGTGTGGGACAGTATGCAATACCAGACTGTGACACTTTTGCAGGTTAGAGAAGGAATTTTTGAAAAATAAATTGACAAGTATATATATTATTTTCTTTCTTTTTATATGGGATGTTTTAACAATCTTTCTGAATATTGGATTTTTCTACTTTGTTTTTTTATTTTGTTTGATAGTTTTATGGCTATATGGGAGACATTGTATGTTTATTTATATATTTTCTGTTCAGGTAATCAGTGCAGTTAGAGAACTGGTGGCATTTGCTGGGGGAGTTCAGCAGCCTCATTTAATCCTAGGAGACTTTAACAGCATTCCTGGGGGACCTGTCTACCGCTACATGAACGATGGAAAGTTAGACGAGGAAATGAAAAAAATATTGAGACAGGAAGAACCTGTGGAAGTGCCAGATGTTGGGGTATGTGTAGTGGTAATGTTTTTCTTAAATTTTTTTTTTTGACAAATGTGGCTTTTGAAACTAGTTAATTATTGATTTGACAGTATATTGTGTAAGATGACAGATGTAAAAACAATCAAAACAGAAAGTTGAAGTTAGCCAGGTCATATAATCTTTTTGAAAAATATATAGTATAAGCTCATTATCTGAACATACAGCGGCATGGTATGTTACCTCCTCATTTATGAGCTAATTGAGATTTTAAGCACAATATTAAAAAAAAATCAATATAAGTTGCATTTTTACTTAATGGCATATATGTATTTTTCCAGAGTTGGCAGCTGTTAGACCTCCTACCTACTGATAGTTTAACCAGAAATCCTATGCAATGCAAAAGTGCTTATTTTGAAATCATGGTCAGTGTTCTTTTGTATTGTTTAAGTATTTGGCTTCAGTTTATTTGTGGTTGTTTTAGCTGTATGGGGATTTTGGCAGCACCAGCCTAAAGTCTTTTCCCATTATTCGTTTATACAAATACAGCAATGAGCATCATGATATTGATAAACATAAGTAAACCATTATACTTAATATCAAACATGTCTCTAAATACAGTACAAAGGTAATTCAGTTAATTATCAAGAAGCACATTTCCAATACTGAAGGATTTATATAATTCAAGGCACTCTGTATTTATGTCATAATAATATCAGGGGGAAAGATAATAGTTACTAGGGTAAATTATTTAAACAAAAAAATGATGATGATTCTGTGCTATGTGTTACACAGTCATAAATTTTTTCTCAAACCAGGGCAAAGAACCAAGCATAACCAACTGTGATGATGCCTGTCAGGACGGAAGATTTGATGGCTGCCTTGACTACATTTGGTACAGCTATGAGAGCCTTTCTGCCTTGGGCGTCCTGGAGACTCCATCTTCTGAGCCAATCATGAGGTTCCATGCCTTACCCAGTGATTTGTTTCCGTCAGACCACATACCTATAAAGGCACAGTTCAGGTTCAATATGCAAACTCCTCAGTCTGTGATCTAAAGGTTTTTTAATTATGATAATAAAAGCTGTGTCTATTCCAGCATAGAATATGAAAGCTGTAAATGTTAGCCATATTTTTTATTTGCCAAGGATTTTTTTACTGATTTATTACAAATTTGTCAATGATTTGCTTCAAATTTTTTATTGGGTTAGAACTATTCAGCTATCTGTCTGAAAGAGATCAAAGTCTAGAGTAAGCATAGCATTAAAGAAATTGAGAAGAGCAGGGATTTCTGTTAATGAACTCACACAGTCCTATGTACCAGTGATACAATCTTATCTACATGTACTCTGGAATACACCTGCTAAGTTTGGCACCCGGGACTTACAAAACAACAAAGCGACAAGATTAAATGGTCCAGAAAGAGCACATAAAGTTATGTGATGAGGCACTAACAATTTTTTAACAATGCAACACTTGTCAGCAGAAGGGACGAGCTATCGAAAACATTACTCAACAATATGAGCAAAGACTATCAAATACACCATCAGAACTGCCTGAAGCAAATAAAATCATCATGAATTTAACAATTTATATTATTGTACAATCCAAGTATATTAGTTGCAAATAAACAGTATCATCATTATCATAACATTGTTATTATTATTATTATTATTATTATTAGAAATCCATAGTTCTTGTGACTTATTGCTAAAAGAATCCACTTTAATAAAGGATATTGACCTCGATCTGAGGCTGAGGCTCTGACCACCCAGATGGGATTATGTAACTGATGCTTCCCCAGTGACATGTTTGAATAAAACATTATATAAATTACTGCTTTTAGCTATTTAACCATATATTAGCCTGCGGAGATCGCTCGGAAAGGGGTATTTCTTGTGTTAAACTTACTGGCCTGTGATGCCACATTTCTTGCGGTTTGAGATGCCATATCCGCCATTTTGTGACCTGTCCTGTCCTGTTCTACTAAAGCGAGTCTGCGTCCTCTTTGAGGCATGTCGTAGGTCAGTCTTTCGTTGGCTTTCCTTCAGTTCCTTCTACTATCCCACTAGTTGTTAATAACCTGGAACGGCTTTAAGCCTCGATTACCTAATTACAAGACAAAACAAAAAACTAAGCATCTTCTCATCTAATGGGCAATGTCCTCATCAGCTGTCCGGGCTGCTGATCCCCAGAGTACGAACGTACACTGGTCACATTATTGACATGCAGTTAAAGCAAGGAGTTATAACTGTTATAACTCCTTGGTTAAAGTCATTGAATCTGAATCATCTGACATCCCACGGAGGAATTAAATTCAGCCGTCACCAGCCACCCATGTATCTGGCCCATGAATATGCGGATGTAGGGACGGGAGGTCGATCTACCTGACCCACGACCATGCGGTCGATCTACCTGATGTTTATCAGAATTATAATATGCCCTGGCCACTGTACTACAGTACCTATAGCTGTCAGTGAGTGATAACAGCTACTCACATCAGTCTGACCAGTCTACAGACAGCGGTAAGATTATACCTTTAGAACGTACATGTAGGCCTACAGTAGAATTAACTAGCACGAAAATTCATGCGTTAGCACTAGGAGTGATAAACTAGGACTAGTTACAAATATTTATAATATGGCCTGATGCAACGTCATTGTTTTGTAAATGTAGGCCTAAAGGCCACGTGGCTCACAATATTTGACAAAAACAACACGCCTGGTGTCAGGAGGGCCAACTTACCTATAGGTCTAACTATAGGCTCTAGACCTGGACGAAGAAAGCAAGTTACTCGGTTCGCATATAATTTTAGGTGGACTGTCTGAACTGTGTGTGAAAGAGACCAAAGAGACAAAATATCAGGGTTAGGCCTAGGCCTACATGTAGGGTCAATTAACTCAACTAGACGTGCTTTCGTCTTTCAGTTCAACCCCCTTGGTGATATATCATCTTCTCTGTATTCTACTGCACGCCAGGAAGAGGTGTGTCACCCTGTTAATCTGAGTGCATTCAGCAAGAGTCTCCTTGGAGTTAATTCTCACTTACTAATTATTGCCGCCTAACTCATTCTGAACGCACCATTTTCCTTTTTTTACGGGACCTTGCGTGACTCTCGCCATTTTTCTTTCAGATATAGGCCCCTATCAGGGCCGTAGCCCTAGGATCCTAGCGTAGCCTGAGCAAAATGCCAGGGGGGGCAGTAAGCGGACACGAGGGGGCGAAGCTACCG